AAAAAAAAAAAAAAAAAAGGTGGTTAGAAAGTTCTGTTGGGGCAGCAAAGCGAGTGATTGGGTGAGGGGGCACAAAAACTCCTGTTACACATCCTGTGGTCAGAAACTTCCGCCTTTGCTCGCTCTTTTTCAATATAATGTGAGCAGGAAAAAACACCCAGCCACACGCTCAGGAAGTGGCACGAAACCTCAGATGGCAAAAAGGTGGGTGCTGTTTGCTGCTCGCTGGCTCTGCTGCAGCAGAGACTTTGCTGCTGCCTCTTGCACTCAGTTTTTCATCAGATGCTGCTGCTTGGAGGGGATTTAGGTGGGGCTTGGCGTTTCTGCAGGGCTGGAAAAGGGAGGGAGGATGGAAAGAAACTTCCCCAGAACTCTGTGCTGCCTCTTTCCAGCCCCAGTGAGATGCCAAATGTTTGCTGTAGCAGTTTTTTAGCTCTTTGGGTTTCAAAGATGTGCTGTTGAATGCATAGGAACGTGGCAATAGCTCTTGGAATGGCCAGAGTCCTCTCTGAGGAGCTGTTCTGGTGTGGTTGGGAATTGATGGGGCAAGTGAAACCTCTGCAGGAGGAGGGGGGTGCAAGACAGAAGGGACAGAGCATTGGGCTCCTTCCCCATCCCCCAATTTCACTTATTTCACTTATTTATTTCACTTATTTCACTTATTTCACTTATTATTTCCCAATTCACCCCACCTCTGGGCCTTAACCCCCCACCTGCTGTAAAACTGGTTCAGAAACGCTGCCAGGTGAAGGATGCTGAGTGAGTCTCAGTTGTGATTAAGGCTCCTTCCAACCCAAATCCTTCCATGATTTCTGCTCCAGAACAGAGGAGGGGTCTGATTGCCTGCACAGGGCACAGCCACATCTGTGCACAGAGGATAAACTGAGGAAAACCAGAGGATAAACCGAGGAAAACCAGGCATAACCCTCTCTGCCCACTGTACATCTAAAACTGCTGCTCAAAATTCCTCCTGCTCACTAAGAGCCTTTAGTTCTTTGCACCAACAACCAAAACTGGGAAGATTCAGCCTTTGGGACTGTAAATGTGTGAATTTAAACAGTGCTGAGACATCAGGGAACCTGGTTTGGTTGGGTCTGTCTGCTATTCCTGGCACATGATGGAGTTTCTTCTAAAAGTCGTGACTTCAAAGAGCAGTGGGCAGAGAGGATGTCAGTGGTGGAAAAACAGCCTACGTGAACTCTCTGTTCCAAATGTGATCWGAATTTGCATGCAGGCTGCTTTCACAAAGCCTGACTAACACCCAGAGGTGATAATGAGGAAAATGAATCATCGCCCTGATCCCCCTGCCCAAGTGCAGATGTTGCAAC